GCTTAATGATGAGGACACATTCTGAGAAATGTGTTAGGTGATTTCATCATTGTGCAAACATCGTAGAGTGTACTTACACAAACCTAGATGGTATAGCCTTCTACACACCTAGGCTATGTGGTACTAATCTTATGGGACCACTGTTATATATGCAGTCCATCATTGACCGCAATGTGTGACTGTATAAATGTTTTAAGGTGTTTCTTATTTCAATAAGCAGTGCAGTTCAGAATGTGCTCTTTCTCCTCCCTGTTTTGTTTAAGTGAAAACTTTTTAGATTTTTCATCTCGAGAAAAAATATAATAAATAATAACTGCCCTTTTTTGAGTACGTAATATATGTCAGATGCTGTGCTGAGCACTTTATATCCATTTTCTCAATCATAAGAAAATCCTTGTGAAGTGGTAATTACTATTTCCATTTTAGAAATAAGGAAACAGGTTCAGCAAAGCTTAGTAATTTGCTTATTATAGCTCAGCTAGTAAATAAATGATAGAGGCAAGATTTGAACTCAGGACTGATTCCAAAACTGTTCTTTTCTCTTATCCTCACTATTTGTTTATCCTTGAACTTAAATAAAAATTTCTTTATACAGATATGTCTCATACAGAATTTCATGTAAACACATAAATGTGATTATATATATATATATATTTTTTTTTTTTTTTGAGGAAGATTAACCCTGAGTTAACTGCTGCCAATCCTCCTCTTTTTGCTGAGGAAAACAGGCCCTGATCTAACATCCATGCCCATCTTACTCTACTTTACACGTGGGACGCCTACCACAGCATGGCTTTTGCCAAGCCGTGCCATGTCCGCACCCCAGATCCTAATTGGCAAACCCCAGGCCGCCGAGAAGTGAAACCTGCCAACTTAACAGCTCCGACACTGGGCCGGCCCCTGTTTGTTTGTTTTTGAGGAAGATTAGCCTGGAGCTAACTGCTGCCAATCTCCCTCTTTTTGCTGAGGAAGACTGGCCCTGAGCTAACATCCGTGCCCATCTTCCTCTACTTTATATGGGGGACACCTACCACAGTATAGGTTGTGAAGCGGTGCTGTGTCCGTACCCGGGATCTGAACCGGCGAACCCCGGATCGCCAAAGCTGAACGTGTGCACTCAACTGCTGCGATACCTGGCCTGCCTCCCTTGTTTGTTTTTAAGTGTGGTCTTTTATTCAGCTGTTCTTCTGTTCGTAGATATTTGTTTCCAGTTTTTAGCCTCTAAATAGTGTTTTACTAAACATCCCTGCATATATTCTAAATCTTTTACTTTTATGGAATAGGGTCTCAGGAATGTGATTGCTGAATCAAAGAGTAACATGTTTTTTAAATTGGTTAATTTTCTTTTCCCTTTTTTTGCTGAGAAAGAGTCATCCTAAGCTAATATCTGTTACTGATCTTCCTCTTTTTGCTTGAGCGAGGTTCGCCTTTAGCTAACATCTGTGCCTGTCTTCCTGTTTTGTACGTGGGTTGCCGCTACAGCATGGCTGCCAATGACTGGTGTAGGTCTTGCGCCCAGGGATCAAACCTGGACCGCCAAACTGGAGCCTGCTAAACTTAACCACTAGGCCACGGGGCTGGCCCCTGGTTATTTAATTTTCATATTTAATTTGCTTATATCCAGTTTGCTTCTCTGAAAAAGCCTGGCAGTTCACAGTTCTACCAGCAATGTAGGAAAGTACCTTCTGATCCATATTCCAAACAGAATTAGTTATAACCGTATTTAATTTTTACTATCAATGGCTGTAAGTGATGCCACCATATCTTTAGTTGGCAATTCCCTGCCTACCAGTAAGATTGAGCATTTTGCTCTTCTGTGAATTACCTCTTCATGTTGTTTGTACATTTTTCTTTTAAGTTTTTTTCAGATGTCAATTTCTAAGCATTCTCTATGTATTATATATTAATTTTTTGTGTCTTCATTATAAATATATTTCTAAAACTTTAATTTTTTTTATTGACTTTGTTTATAGTTTCATGCCATACAAAATGTTTTCATTTTTTATGCAGAAAATTGTGTCTTGGTTAAGGTCTCTCCTCCCTCTAGATTTTGCAAATGTAGTTTCAAGATTTTTATTGTATGTCTTATATTTTTACATCTTTAATCCATCTGGAATTTATTTTTGTACATGGCATATGATAGCAGTCCAATTTTACTTTCTCCCAGATGGATAACCAGTTGTGCTACTCCTATTTTCCTACTGCCTAGAACTACCATCTTTGTTATATCTTAAATTCTCATAAATACTGGGATTGGTTTCTGGATTGTTCTGTTTATTGATCTGTTTGTATATTCCTATACCAACACTGTTTTGGTTAAGGAGAGTCTGAGTTATGGTCCAATATCTGGTAAAGCAAGACTTTTTTTTACTGTTTCTTATTTCATATTTTTCCTATCTATTCTTATGTGTTTAATCTTCCATATAAACCTTAAAAACGTTTTCTCCAATCTTACCACCACTACTATCCTATAGGTTATGTATGGATTCTAATTTGAATTGCATTTAATTTACATATTAATTTAGGGCAAAAGTTACATTGTTACAATACTTTACATCTAAGAATATGGTGTATTTTTCCACTTGTTCAGATCTTACTTTATTATCTGTCTGTTAAAGACTCAGAGTTGCCTTCATTTCTGTGTTGTTCCTCTTTTGTTAAATTTATTCCTAAGAATTATCTTAGAGGGGCGGCCTCGTGGTCAAGTGGTTAAGTTTGCATGCTACACTTCGGTGGCCCAGGGTTTTGCTCGTTTGGATCCTGGGTGTGGACATGACACTGCTCATCAGACCACGGTGAGCTGGCGTCTCACATAGCACAGCCAGAGGCACTCACCACTAAAATATACAGCTGTGTACTGGCGGCTTTGAGGAGGAGGAGAAGAAGAAAAAAAGGAGAAGATTGGCAATAGATGTTAGCTCAGATGCCAGTCTTTAAAAAAACAAAATTAGCGTGTTCTTGCTATAGCAAATAGAATATTTTTTCTGATTTCCATTTCTAGGTGCTAATTGCTACAATAGAGAATAGACGATTTTTTTAATTCTCAATCTACCTCTTGATATTTTGATTAGTCCTCCTAATTTTATATTAGCATCTTTTGAGATTTTCAGGTAACAGTAGTATCAGCAGCAAAAACCGTTTCCCTTTTTTTCACTGTTTATGCAGGATACTGAATTTTCTTGCTTTTGTTTTTATATTTGGTAGAAGCATCAGATAGAAGACATTGCATTTGCTAGAAGACAGTGTTAAATGATGATGGTGATAACTGGCATCCCTATCAAATTCCTGATTTTAACTAAAATGGTTTTAATTTTTCAGTCTTTCGGAAAGCATGCTGTTCATTTCTTTTTTTGGTAAATAATTTTTATTTTACTTAAGTGATTTTCTTCTACCTCTGGCTTTGAGTTTTTATTAGAAATGTCTAAGGAATTTTATCAAGAGCTTTTTCAGCTGTTAATGAGTACGATTTGTTGATGGAGTAGATAGGTGATCTATCAACATGTGATGGTCTTCTTGATATTGAACTACCCTTGGCTTCATGGAATAAATTTCTACAGACCAAATACTCCTAGATTCTTTGTTTTCTGTTCTATCTGGTCTTTGACCAAGTGCTCCTCAACCCTGGTTTCTAAATAGAACTTGTCAGACACACATGGGGAAGAAACCCTAATAGGTAATCCATAGGGTCTCCATGGCCTTTCTTACTTCCAATTGTAAGACCTGTAACTGTTTGGGTCTGGTGAATCAGATAAATGGGAGTTGAGAATAGAGGAAAAAGAAGACACTTTCTGGTCTTGAACTTCCAGAATCATTCTCTGGTTCTTCTTTCTTTTGATTATTTTTCACCTTTTATGTCAATGACTTTTTCTGTTCCTTTTATTTATTTTGCTCAGTAGGAAAAATTTACATCAGTACTACTTCCTTAACGGATCCTTTTAATAATGAGAGAATAATGAAATAGCAACATACTCTGTTTCTCTTTCTTCCTGTCCAGTCAGCCTTGTGTTTTCTGAAACCTGCTTGCATTGTTTTCTCTAGTGCTTTTAGTGATAAACTTCAGTGGTAAGAATTTTTTGCCATGAATTTCGAGCTTTTATCCAGAACCTAAAGTAGTAGCAAGCCCGTATAACCAATACTTGCGTGTCTAATTGTTTGTCCCAGGAAGCCCTGGAGGCTCAGCCACATTTTAGCAATCTGGAAAATAATTTAAGTATCTAATTATAATTTTGTTGTTACTCAGATTGTTTTGTTTTTAATTAAAAACTTCTCTCGGTAGATTTGGTAGTAGTCAAGGATTCAATATTTAAGCATAAGAACCTGCTGGTGGATACCAAACCAAAAAGAGGTCAGTTTAGCCGAAAGAGTTCTGACCATGGAGTTAGGAAGCCTGAGTACTACTTTCAGCTCTCTCACTAGCTTATGTGAACTCAAATGGAGTTCTGCGCCTATGACCGTTCATTCCCTCTTCTCTGAAATGAGGTTACTGAAGTAAATGATCTTCCTTTAAGCTTTAACATTCTGGAAAATTAGATAACGTGTTTGAGTCCTGCCCCTCAAAATAACCTGTGATTCTACTGTTTCACAACTGAGTATTCTTGCTATCTGATTCTATAAGAAAATAGACTGTGAGTGGACTTCTGGAACTATATTGTCTGCTCCTCTGTAGCAGTTGCTGTAATAGGTCTGCTACAGACTGAATGTTTCTGTCCCCCCAAAATTTGTATGTTGAAATCCTAATCCCTCCAGTGCAATGGTATTTGGAGGTGGGGCCTCTGGGAGGTGATTAGGTCAAGAGGGCAGAGCCCTTATAAATGGGATTAGTATCCTTATTAAAAAGACCCCAGAGAGGTCCTTTGTCCCTTCCGCCATGTGAGGATACGGCGAAAGACGGCTGTGGGTCCTCACCAAACACCGAATCTGCCAACACCTTGCTCTTGGACTTCCCAGCCTCCAGAACTTTGAGAAATAAATTTCTGTTGTTTATAAGCCATTTAGTCTATGGTCTTTTTGTTATAGTAGCCCAAATGGACTAAGACAAGGTTCCTTCAAATTGTTCTTTGTGAAAATAATTTTAAATCCCCAAATCCCATCTCTGTAAAGTCCTGTCACCTCTAGCGAGTTTCTGTAAGTCATTTCTGTCCAGGGAGAGCTAAAGATTTCCTGAGTTATAAGACTGGAAATGTATTAGGTTTGATCATATTAAAATTGCTAGTACTTGACAATTTTTGGTCGACAAATAGTCAGTTTCATACATATCAACCTAATAATTATAGATGAATCAAACAGGTATCATACTGGGGTTTTACATGAAAGATCTTTCCATCTAAAAGCAGAATTGCCTATTGTTTTATTAGACATTTGTTATTTAGTCAATTAGAATTAGCTTTGAAAGCCTACTTTGTGCCAGCCCTGAGTCTTGTGGATATGTCCATGAATAAAATATACCTGTTCCCTGGTTTGTGGGAGACTACAATCTAATGAGGGAAATAGGCAGTTAATTAACCAATTACAGTAAAGTTACATGACAGTTACAGAAGAGAAAATACATATTGCTGTGTTGTAAATGACGAGAAGTTCTCATCTAAGGTTTCAAAAAGGTCTCTTGTTCAGAAATTATCCAGGAAGGTTATTGGGGTAGGATAGGGTGCTGCATGGTGTGTGTGGTGTTAAAAGTCAGAGGGGAAAACGTACTCAAGGGTAAGAAAGAGCTTGACAATTTCATAGTGTATTAAAGGAGATCAGACCAGAGAAGGTAGGTAGGAACCAAATCTTAGAAAGCTTTAAATAAGGCCTATTTAAGATTTCAGGCTATAGAATGTCATTGAAGCATTTTATGCAGGCAGATTACATATTCAGGTTTAGAAGGCAGTATGCAAAGTGGTTTAGAGTGTCCATCTAAAGGTAGATTGTCTTGGTTCAAATCCTAGTTCTGCTGTATTCAAGCCATTGACATTGGGCAATTTAACGTTAGATTTTTGTCTCCTTATCTATAAAATGGGATAATAGTAGTACCTTATTTGTAGAGTTTTTAGAATTAACTTAATTAGTGCATGAAAACACTTAGTACAGTTCATAGCCCATAGTATAAATTACTGCTTAGGTATTGTTATTATTTGTATTATCACTATTAGTTTTTAAAAGACCATTCTGGTTACTTGAGTTAGAATGGAGTAAGATTACTTGCAGGGAAACCTGTTAGTAATTCAGGCAAGAGATAATTGTGACTTGGATTGGAGTAGTGGCAGAAGGGATAGAGAAGGAGATGCTATTTGAGAGAAATTTCAGAGGTAAAATCCTTGACGCTTGGTGATTGAATGAATGTGGGAGGTGAGAGAGAAGGAGGAATAAAAGATGAGTCAAAGTACCTCAGATTGGTTTTGGAATGGCACTGATATAAATATACCCACATTGGCTGCACTGAAATATGTTAATTAAATAAAGCAACATTTAAAGCTCATAAGTGATATAGTGCCCAGAAATGAATCTTATGAATTTGAAGAAGTGAGATTGATCCTTTCTTATTTGTAATAATTAAGCTGCTGAGTAGGTTGGGAGAAGAATAATTTGAATAGTCTTTTCCCTCTTTTGTTTCATGTTTCCTTTCCCTTTCTGCCTTGTTTCCTTTTTAGTTCTGTCATTGATATTTTAATTTTTTAGTATGAGGTTGGACCATATAGAAGTTGCCATTTTTATAGATCAGAAAATATTTAACCAGAAATAAAAAGGTTAAATATTGGCAATTTCATGTGGTTCATCTAGTTTATTCTCATTTTGCAAGAATTTTTAACTGGGGCTCTAAGGGTCCATTTTGAGTTAAATTGAGTACCCCAGTGACTCTGTGAAGGAATATTGCTTTGATGGCATAAGGACAAGTGGAACTGAGTGCGGTGAAGGAGGTGACTTAAACCTGGCCTCATCCATTCGTTCTGGCTCTGGGAGAACATCTTGCAGCCAGGTTTTTTTGTTAGCTTTAACCAAAAGGGGCGTGTTATATAATATAACTCCGTCTGTTTTTTAAAAAATCTGATTATAGAAATAATACACAGAATTGGGAAATTCAGAAAATATGGACAACCAAAAAGAAAAAACGAGCAATTGCTTGTAATCCCACCGTCCAGTGAAAAATAGTTGATTTTTAATATATTTCCTTCCAGTCATATATGTGCAAAAAGTTACTATGTCTTTTAGAAAAAAAACAAATCATGAGGTTGCGTTATTTTAAAAAGGAAATGTTTGTATAGATTTTTGTGAGGACATAGATTTATTGCCACCCGCTCATGTCATTAATAATTTGTCTCTTCTGAAGAAAATGTTTTTCTTTAATCCAAGACAAAACATTTCTCTTGACTGATTTGAATGTAGCCATCAGGCCTTGTTTTTTTTTTAAGTTTCCTATATGAATATTTTGATTATAACTCCAAGAGTGGTTTTACTAAAATAGAAAGGAAGTTGAAAGAACTATTATTGTATTTATGACAGTAATATAACAGCTGGTAGTTTCATTGCGTTTTTATTACATTTTTAATTTTTTCAAGTTATCAGCCAAGGTAATATCTGCTTTTATCAGCATAACTGTCTAGTTTTATACATGAGATACCCGAGATGTATAGAGAATAAGTTACATGCCCAAGTTCACAAGTAGTTGGGAAAGCCTGGGCTCCTGACTTTGCTTAATTTTTTTTTCCATTTATTGAAATATAACTCTTTCAAATCATTCCTTTTTTTATTCAATATTTATTGAGCACTCAAAAAATGGGAGTTCTAAAATAAAGAATAGTGGGTAACCTAGTTTGGCTGGAGGACAAGGTGTTTGGGGGGACGTGGAATAGTGAAATCAGATTGGAAAGGTAATAGGGAGCCATTGAGTCTTCTTGAACGGTAGAGTACCATATTAAAGCTTGTGCTACTGGATATTTCAACAAGGTGGAAATGAATAGATTAGAAAAATGGACAAGACTAGAAGTCTAGATGATATTTAGTGATGGCCTAAAGTAAAGTATTAAAAACTGAAAGGAGGAAATGAATTTGAGAGCTGTTGTAGAAATAGATTCCCAGGACTTGGTGACTAAGAACAGTACATTGAGGGAGAGAGTGATCAAGATGATTCTTAAGTTTCGTTCCCGAGAGCCTGGAAAAACATTGGAAAAAAATGAAAGAGGTTTGTTTGGTGGGAAAAGTGTATTTAATTTTGGATATGCTATGATTGAAGTCTCTACAGGACATCCAAGTGGAAGATGTCTGACTAGCAGGCAAATTGTAGGTGGGAAAGGGAGCTCAAGAGAGTCAGGGCTGGCGACATAGGCAGAGAAATTATTTGTCTAGAGGGAATAATTGATGCCATATCATCATTCCTTCTTTCCAGGTACCTTTAGTGCCTTACATATGGAATAGCCTCAATGTATGTGAGGAATGCATGACAGCAAAGTATGCAAATCACTGTTGTGTGCCTTAGAAGCGGACAGTCACAGTAAGAGAGGGCACTTGAGGATTCAGAGGAACTCAGCCTCAAGCAATGCAACATGATTGGTGGGAAACCACGGGCTATTTAGGAGGGTTATTTTAGTTGTATGAGAAGAAAGTGAGTAAATTTATATACCCACTATGTGCTAAGTATTGGTAATCATTTTGTATGCTGTCTCCTTTATTTCTCAACAACTCCTTGAAATAGAGAGTATTACACCCATTTTATAGATGATGAAACTGAGGCTAAGTCATATTAGAGCAAGAATTTGAACCAGATGAGTGTGTTCAGTGCCATAGGTCTTTTTACTATACCATACTTTGCCATATTTTCCAGTAAGACCTGTCAAATATAGCTGTTAAGCTTATGCTCAATAGGTGTTTGGTTCCTTGCATTTGTGTAATAAGCAGAGTGCTTCAGATCTTAAAATGTAATTAATTGAATTCTGATTATGGGTGGCCATTTGCCTGCAATGAGAAAGCATGTGTGCGAAACAAATGAAAAATGAAAGTTGGATCACATAATGTGTATCTCCACCCAGGTGTGCAGACCTTCTGGGATGCTTACAAATGCCAACATTTGTTTATTTTACTCTACAGGATGTATGGAACTTTATTTAGAAGGATGAATTGACAGTCCAAAGACACCTAAAGGAAAAGATAGCAAAAATATACATTTCTAATTAGCTGAAAATTGTCATCATTTATGGCATTACCATAAGAGCCACAATATAATCCCAATTTGCATTGTTTTAAGTAGGCACAAACAAGATTGTGTATTCTTAGATACAAACGCTAAGTTGTACCGAGAGACTTCCTGTAATTTTCAAGTCTGGGTGGAAATGGATACGTTTGCTTTTTCATCTTTTGTTTGTATATTTGTGTACTGCCCAGCAAGCTGGAAGCAAGAAATGGCATCTCAGAACTATAGCGTAGTGTCAAATACAGGAACGATGTAATTCCTCTTCTATGTCTGTGCTATTTCTGCAGTATTCAGATTGCGTGAGATTTTCTTTATTTTTCTCTTGAAAAACCGAATTTTAAGTTTTCTTGTTATTTTGGTCATCTTAATATTGGCCATTATCTGTTGAATTGTGAGAGAAAATTAATGCTGAATATTTAGGTTTCCAGCTAGAATTTGTGCAGCTGAATTATGATTCCTCAGTTGCCGTGCACTGATAACACACTTTCATTCTTTAACATTGCTCTTTGTTCCTTGGGAAAATGCTACAAGAAAACAGGAATTTCCCCTCAGCATTAGCCCTTTGGCAGTATGTTTCAGTCTAATTCCTGGCTGGCACTCTCTCCGGGTTACTACCACTTCTTACTAGCTGTCTAAATTCTGTTCATCTACAAGAAGGGGGATTCCAGACAGACGAGGAAACAGCTTTCAAACACTGCACTGCAGGCATGTTAAGTTATCCCCCCACTGTGCAGTCTGGAAATCGGGGAGCACCTCTATGGCGATGAATTCTAATAAGCTGCTAAAGATGCCCGAGTATGTGCGCACACAGGCATTTTCTTTCCCCTCCCCCGCTTCTTCCTTTTCCCAAGCCCCCTCTTCTCCCTTTTCCCCTCCTACTCCTTTATCCCCTCCCTCTGTGTCTCAGTGCTGCGGTAAACGGGGCTGAGGCACATTCCTGCTTTACAAGGCTTTCTGTTAAGGATGTTTTGTGGCTTTTGTTTGGATTACAGCTTGCAGAATTACAGGTAACACTCTGAGATTAAGCTAGATAGATAAATTGTGTTGAAATGTTTTCAAAAAGGCAAAATATTACATTGGAATCAATGAAGAAAATAAGTTATCTTAGCTAATTTTATTAGTGGTAATTATAGTAAAATATTTTGAGAAATGCTATCAGCCGATTCCTTTTCTCCCCCAGAAGGCTCAAATGAAAGGAAATGGGGGTAGATTGATCTGCGATTGATTTTGTTTTATGTTGATCATGAAAGCTTGCTGTGGTGTGCCTCCTCTGTAGAGTAAGGACCAGTTATGTGGGGTGCTACTGAGAGTAGCCATGAATAGTTGTACTGGGTGGGGTGGGATGGAGTTGGGGGGAGAGCCTGAGCTAGCCAGGTTCTTTGATTAGGGCATTGGATGCAAATGTAAAATGCTTTCTCCTTTTCTTCTATCAGCTGTTCAGAGGAGCCTCATTACAACTCCTGCTGAAGCTCCTAGTCTTCTTCCCTTCTCTTCTGCCCCTACCCCCTACCCTCATTGGCCTGAAGACATTGTACCCAGAGTTTGCCTTACTCCCCTGGTGCTATGTGTATGGTAAACCTGGTACTATGGCCTCATCTGGGACTGGCCAGATAACTGCTGCTGGCTCTCCCTATTCCAAGGATTTAAAGGGGAATGGCACTGCAGGCAATGCACCAGAGCAGCAGCATCGGGAGCTTGGGGACTAAGGCTCCTCTGGCATTATTACAAACACACAGAGCTGACCGCAATGACAGCAGCTGCTCCTTTGAACTGTTGGCAGCAGTCAAGCGGCAGCATGAAGTGAGAGATCACTCCTGAGCTCAAGATGAACTCCACCTTGGATGGTAATCAGAGCAGCCGCCCTTTTTGCCTCTTGGCATTTGGCTATTTGGAAACTGTCAATTTTTGCCTTTTGGAAGTGTTGATTATTGTCTTTCTAACTGTATTGATTATTTCTGGCAACATCATTGTGATTTTTGTATTTCACTGTGCACCTTTGTTGAACCACCACACTACAAGTTATTTTATTCAGACTATGGCGTATGCTGACCTCTTGGTTGGGGTAAGCTGCCTGGTCCCTTCTTTATCTCTCCTCCACTACCCCCTTCCAGTAGAGGAGTCTTTGACTTGCCAGGTATTTGGTTTTGTAGTATCGGTTCTGAAGAGTGTCTCCATGGCCTCTCTGGCCTGTATCAGCATCGATAGATATATTGCCATCACTAAACCTTTAACCTATAATACTGTGGTTACACCCTGGAGACTACGCCTGTGTATTTTCCTGATTTGGCTGTACTCCACCCTGGTCTTCCTGCCTTCCTTTTTCGACTGGGGCAAACCTGGATATCATGGAGATGTGTTTCACTGGTGTGCGGAGTCCTGGCACACCGACCCCTACTTCACCCTGTTCATCGTGATGATGTTATATGCCCCAGCAGCCCTCATTGTGTGCTTCACCTATTTCAACATCTTCCGAATCTGCCAACAGCACACAAAGGAAATCAGCGAAAGGCAAGCCCGCTTCAGCAGCCAGAGTGGGGAGACTGGGGAGGTGCAGGCCTGTCCTGATAAGCGCTATGCCATGGTTCTGTTCCGAATTACTAGTGTATTTTACATCCTCTGGTTGCCATACATCATCTACTTCTTGTTGGAGAGCTCTACTGGCCGCAGCAACCGCTTCGCATCCTTCTTGACGACCTGGCTTGCGATTAGTAACAGTTTCTGCAACTGTGTCATTTATAGTCTCTCCAACAGCGTCTTCCAAAGGGGACTGAAGCGCCTCTCAGGGGCCATGTGTACTTCTTGTGCAAGTCAGACCATAGCTAAGGACCCTTACACAGTTAGGAACAAAGGCCCCCTTAATGGATGCCATGTCTGAAGTGGTTCAGATATTGGGTCACTGTGTGTGGAGGGTGTGTGTGTGTGTCTTTCCTTTTTATCTCTTTGTATTCTGAGTTCAGTAGGAAATCTGGGACAAAATAATTTGACTCTAAGCAATAGCAAACAAATGATCCATCCAAAATACCTTCTAAGTTTGCAGAAATGATTTTTTAAAAAGTACTTTGAATCAGGACCATGAAGATAAATTGCTGTTGGTTCCAATTTTTGTAATGTCATAGAAAATGACTACAGTTCTCAGATTTAAAATGAATAAAGCCATATCTAACACCTCTCTGCAGCTGGCATGACTGAACCTAGGTGTGAAAAGCGTCAGCATTTTAAAAAGTCATCATTTTCTTCTTGCTTTTCTGGGTTCTTTCCAGCTGTTTGGGCTTCATATGCAATTGATTTCTTTTAACAGGGAGTGTTAAAATACAGTGATGAATTAACAGAGTTTTTAAATTTTATTTTTGTGTGCTGAAGTATGACTATATTGCAGATTGCAGCACTGTCATTTAAAAAGCCAAATGTTTTGTCTTATCTCTTGAGAGAATTCTCAATACAGTGAATAATGTGAACACTTAGACATTAATTTTAGAATTTTGCAGTGAACCATGAAGCAAAAATGCAGTAAATCATGCAATTTATGAAAAACTTGGCTGCTTTTTGTGCCATACTTTACGGAGATCTGAAGAAATGTGTGCATAGGAAGTGATTGTGTTGCAGTATTTTTGCCCATGCCTTTTGCCCACACATGCATGTATTTAGTTAGATTTTTCTTTTATAGCAAAACATGTTTGAGTAAGTTGAAAAATAATTAAATGATAGGCTGTTGGCTGCCATTTTTATGATGAAAATATTTAAAAATATGTCTTGAGTCTTCTCTCTTCTTTTTATCCAGAGACTTCTGAAATATGAGAATATCAGGGAGAAAGTTGCCCTAAGCAACTAAGTCGTGAATTATGCACTTAACTAGCTCGTTTTCAAAATAGAAGGGGGTTAATTGAAATTAAATTTGTGGTTAAATGGAATCAACTAATAAAGTAGCAACTAATTCTTTTTAAAAGTGTTCAGGAACCCACATTTGAATGAGAGAAGGAGAAATTCTGTTTAATCTAATCAGCAGTCTCTCTTACTGCTATTCTCTTTCTGGGAAAAAATCCTTTGGGATACAGTTCTTTCCATACTAATCTTTTTTTAGGCCAAAATACTTGCAAAATCTGTAGCATTTTATTATTGTTATTCTGTAGAATTATTAATTGAGAGTACTCTAATTTGTTCTTAAAAGTGATTAAGAGCAAGAGATTTATTTTTCTGAAAAAAGAGGAGGATTTCCCAGCAGCTCCAGGCATGAGAGTATTTCCTCTACTTTTTTACTGGTTCTAATGTTTTGGAAGTCTTTAGGGGACTTATGTGATCTCTGCCTTTGGCTAGATGTTGTAATCTGAATGCGACAGTGGTGTTCAGTGAGTTGGAAGATGGAAGAAACCCAAGGGACGTGGGTAAAAGTAGATTTTGAATCCAAGAAAGGACATGGATATTTATAAAACAGGCAGACATGCTTTGGTTTTTGGTCATGATATTAGAAAACCTCCTACCCCCTTTTACAATAAAATTCTTAGGATTTTGGGTTTTAGATATCGGTTTGATGTCACCCTCAAATGTGTTCATTTAAACTTCTAAGTAAATAAGTATTATATAAACATTCAAACTTCAGATTCTGAGTTCTTCCCAAAAGCTTGCTTGCTCTTTACATTTGGTGTTAGAAAATTTGATTCTAAGCTGTTTTAAAATTTAGAACTCATATTGAAATTGCAAGTTATGTTAGCAGTGGCTTTGTTAAATTGCCATTTGAAATGGAAAACCTTTTCTGTTGGATTCTGAAAAATAGTTATACATATTTCCCCTTTATGTAAGTGGCACTGATCTAAAAAATCAAAATTTCTTTTCTTTCATGTATATTGGAGAATGTAATCTGTTCACATTTGCAGTTTGCTTGTGAATTTTCAATTTAGCAAATATGGAAATCTTTAAAGACTTAATTTTTATTAAAAAACTGATGTTTAAATCAGTAGATTTTACTTGGGGGCTGAGCCCTTTAAATTTTTCCTCCAATAGGGTTTTATCTTGTAAGAATGGAAAAGAGAAAATATCTGTTTAATTATCTAGAAATGGTTAATCAAGCTGGTCTTTTAGTGACTGGAAAGACAACTCTTTTAATAAGCTTTTGTTAATAGATTTTTAAGTTTTTGTCCTAATACCAAATTTAGATGTTATTATAGGTATTTTTTTCACATGAGAATCTTTATCAGTATCGCAGCGTAAAACTAAAGTAGAAACTAAGTAGATACAATAATTTTAAAGAAAAATAAAGCTCCCACAACTGATACTTGCTTAATATCGGATGTCTTTCCAGTTTAGCTTATCTTCATTGGACCTTATAAACTCTGTTTCTTTCAGGTATCAATTTTATTCTCACATTCATTGTCTCTAGTGCTTTTCTTGTTTTTATTTTCGTGTGTGTGTTGGAGAGAGGGTACACTCTTGGATGCAATCATACAATCTTATGTGGCTAGGGGCAGTTTCTATGTGATACATTTGGAGAGTTTGTATTTAAGTAGCCTTATTATCCTCCCATATTTAATGCAACATTTGATGACGTTTGATTTAAATACCAATCTGACTAGTTCAGAATGAGTAAAAAGTGTATTTTTAGACTCAATTACCTTGGGCTTTGGCAAGACAGCACATTTAACTTTATATGGTATATGACTGATACAAGAGGAAGCACAGCTTTTGGTAATTGTGTTGAAATTATTTCATAGTAAATTTTAAAATAAGACTATTCTAATTGTTATATTTGTGAATTAGTTCTGTGTTCTTATAAAATGATGTCGATGAAGGTGTGTGGTTTTTTTCCTTCTTAGAGTGGAAAAGCAGTTACAAAAGGACAGTGCTCCACTTTAATGAAAGACCAATCTTACACCAGAATGGATATTTGAATTTTTCATGGACCTGTTGACTCTCTCTAAATTCCATTTTGGAAAGGGTTTTCTTTAAGTTTTATTTCTGGATAAGTTCCTTTCTCAGCCTATTATAGTGGCTTTTCCTTTTTACTTGAACAATGGTCTCAGTATTTTAAGGATTGGGAAAACTTGAATTTTTGTACTATAAATGCATTATCCACCTCTTTGAACTTGAAAATGAAGCAACAGGGTTACAGGCTCCCAGACAGTAGAGTGATTTCTGGGAGAGTCAGATTTGATTGAAAAATCTGCACAGTAGCTTTGTAGGAAATGTTTTAATTTCACTGACTGTGTTTTTGTATCATAAAAGATTTGTGAAATAAATTATTGGCAAACCAGAATTTATTGTTATATGATCAGATTTGGGGAAGTTTAAGGATGGGAGAATAGTGGCACCATGAGATTTTTTTAAATTCGTCGTAAGTCATTCCATATGTTCATTTTTGCACAATTTTTCTGTTTCAGGTTGAAGAAAAATTAAATATTCATATTAAATGTACATTTTATTAATATATTTTTCAGACCCTGGGAATATTCTAGACATTTCTTATGACTGTAAACAAGTCGTTTGGCTTTTCTTCAAAGTTTGGGTGACAAAAGGGCATCATGATACGATTAAAATGAACTTTGAAATTAGAATCAAAACATCTATGTTACTGTTACTAATTAACTAGTTTCATAAGGGCAAGTTGCTTCTCTAAGCACTTAATTTCTTCTATAAAAGGAGATAATAATCACTTCATCCCTCATAGGGTTACTTTGAGGATTGAATTAGATTGTGGATGTAAAAGTACTTTGTAAAATGTAAAGTGCTTTGCAAATAAAAATGATTATTGTTATTTGTTTCTGCCATGGTTTTACATCTGAGGAGATTGTGCATGATGATGTGGTGGTCTCCTGTGTTAAGATCTTTGAAGCTCAATGCTTTGTGACTATTCCAGGCTGCTTAGCAATCCCAAATTTGAGAAGAGAGGCATGATAAATCCTCACCTTTCTAAAATGACAGTAGCTTTAAATTCTACATAAAACTGTTTTCATTTACTTCCTGTACTTGTCTGCAAAGTCTCTGAAAGCGGGAACAGTGTCTCTTCATATCTTTATTCCCAAAATCTAATATAGGACCAGGCTCAGAGCAGAAGTTTTAATAAATTTTATAGAATCCGTGAATGACCCTTTCTAATTATTACTTTAGTTGTTATAGAGCAGTGATGTTCAAAAGGTAGTCCAGAGGCCATAAGCAATTTTGCCTTTGGTGAAGGCCATTCTAGACTCTAAATAATAAGTAATATCTCTTAGTACCAAGAAACTAGTGTGGGAATGTGCCTGCTCTATAAGCTAGGTCACTTTGCTCCTGGAAGCCCTGTAGCCTTGTCCCAGGGAACTTCAGGCAGTGCTATCAAACTGCCACTTTCTCACAGCATGGATAAGAAATATGTAGTTGGATCACACCTTCTTGGCTCTGGATCCAGGTAAGGTAGGCTGTAAAAATCAGTCAAAGAGGAGCTGTAGAATAGGTTGGTGAAAGAAACTGTTCTAACTCTATGGTTTTGCTTTGTCTCCCTTTCACTCTTTACCAGTTTTCTAGCTCTGTCTTCCCTTTCCTTTCTCTTCTTAGCACACTATTGGTCATGTATTCAGAGGGAAGTGCTTCAAATGATGCTGCTAAAAGGTGTGGAAAATTGTATTATGCAATAGCGTTGGCCTTTAGGGAAAGTTTCAGAAGCAATCGAGAAGCATTTATGCAGCAAGCTCTGCCTATATGCCAGTAGGATAGCTAGCTGGCCTCAGGATATAAAGAAGGATCACACGATTCCTTTCTTGTAGAACTTTATAGTTTTTAGATGTTTCATGTGGAAAAATTCTGTGATTATCTGTCCTTCAAAAAACCTCACAAAGGGACTTTTTCTGGAGGAATTTACCAAGGCCTACTGGTGGGACAGTTGGCACACCGTGGATCTGTTTCTTGGGGTAAGTTCACATGATGCCCGTGTATAAAATCATAATGTCAGTTTATTAGTTTAAAAAAAAAAAAGATGTTGGCAGTGAGGAGCAGTCTTTCCATATTGGTAGATCTTCACGGGAAGCCAAACCTTATTCAGAATGGTGCTTGGTGAGGATGGAATCTCAGCATATGGTTCTGTAATGTGAACATTTATTGGTAGCAGACTAAGCCTGATGTCTTGTCTCAGCAATCAGGAAACCTGGTCATTGAGATCGTAATAAAAGTTGGAATCATCTCTGCTTCCAATACTGACCGACATATCTTCTAATTGACATATTATTTCTTTAGTTAACTTCTTTTGTTACTTGTCTTTTAGTAAGGTTCCTTGCAAGTCTTAGTAGTCTTGCAAGTCTGCTATTTATTCTTTCTTTTTGAGGTGGTTTTATGTCACTTGTCTTATCCTTTACCATAATATATGGTTTTATGATTTAATGTTCAGAGGGTGGCCTTATTTATGATAGTTTTGGGGGAGCAACTCATCTTGGCTTTCATGTAGCACCTATATACTGTCTAGTTAGAAAAGCAAGATATATGAAACAACCTATAAAAATTAACAACATAAGGCAGATAATAGGCATTGAAACATTAAGTATATAGAATGTCAGATCATGTCTGGCAACAGAGATGGGGATGGACATTTGAGCTGGAAAAGACCTTAGAGATCATTTGATCTGATTCTCTCTTTTCCAAACAGGAAACCAGTATAGTGGCTACACATCTATGTATGATAATACCCAGACTTCCTACTTGCTAATCCATTGCCCTTTTCTGTTAAACCATGTTACTTTTGCAGTGGAGTTAGAGTTGAGCTTCACTCAGCTGGGCCCTGAATGAATAAGATTTAAATAGGCTGAAATGGGGTGTGTGCGTGTGTGTGTAATTCTAGATATTGGAAGGATTATGGGCAACAATATAAATGTTAATTGAGGCTGCTTATGTTTGAGGAGAATTTTATAAACTTTGTCTGATTTAATCCTCCCAACATGTATGAGCTGGTGACTATTATTAACCCCATTATATAGGTGAGGAAACAGATTTACAGTTGTCAGAGCCATACAGTTAATAAATAGAAGATCTAGCATTCCAACCCAGTTGTTTCTGACTCCAAAGCCTACATTCTTGCCTCATTTAATTCTCACAGAAACATACCAGGTAGTTATTTTTATTATTCCTATTTTACATGTGAGAAAACTTAGAGAGATTAAGAAACTAATCAATATATAAGCTAACTCCTAGACTTGAAAAACATCATAAACTTCCTGCTAAATATAGCAGATTGAATATGGATATTTATTTCTGTTAACTCCACTGAAAAGAATAGCAAAGATATAATACATATGGACGAATAGAAGAGGAGCAGAGACTATAGCAGATGAATGAAGCCAACAAAATTTTGGAATATAGAAATCCAGTGGACAAGTGGTAACTGACTCAGCAGCATTGACAAAGCTGAATCCTAAAGTTAAGTGGGGAGGAGCAAAAAGAAGCAAGCTGATTTGCCCGTAGAACCCAGTAAATACTTGGGAATTAGATT